TTTTTAAGTGTTTTATATTCCTTTGCTTGTTTTGACTTTGCTGCTTGAGAATACCGTAGCAGATACACTATGAACTAAAATATTTGTGTCCTTATGTTTAGGATCCTACTGACAGTGGTGGTGATCTTCCGGATTCTAATCGTTGCAATAGTAGGAGAGACCGTGTACGACGACGAGCAGTCCATGTTCGTGTGTAACACTTTACAGCCAGGCTGTAACCAAGCTTGCTATGACAAAGCGTTCCCTATATCTCACATCAGATACTGGGTGTTCCAGATCATCATGGTTTGCACACCCAGTCTGTGCTTCATCACATACTCGGTGCATCAGTCGGCCAAACAGAAGGAGCGGAGATACTCCATGGTCTACCTGTCCCTTGACAAAGATCCCGATTCAATGAAACGAGACGACAGCAAAAAGATCAAAAACACCATCGTGAACGGAGTACTTCAGAACACGGAAAACTCCACCAAAGAATCTGAGCCTGACTGTTTGGAAGTGAAAGAGATCCCCAGTTCAGCCAGGAGAACTACCAAATCTAAAATGAGAAGGCAAGAGGGCATCTCGAGGTTTTACATCATTCAGGTGGTTTTCAGGAACGCGCTGGAGATCGGCTTCTTGGTGGGGCAGTATTTCTTGTACGGATTCAATGTTCCTGCCGTGTACGAGTGCGATCGCTACCCTTGCATCAAAGACGTCGAATGCTACGTTTCGAGACCCACTGAGAAAACCGTGTTCCTCGTCTTCATGTTTGCGGTCAGTGGGATTTGCGTGGTGCTCAACCTTGCAGAACTCAATCACCTGGGCTGGAGGAAAATTAAAACGGCAGTGAGGGGGGTTCAGGCCAGGAGGAAGTCCATATACGAGATCAGAAACAAGGACTTACCGCGGATGAGCATGCCGAATTTTGGCCGCACCCAGTCGAGTGACTCTGCCTATGTCTAATGCTCCTTCATCAGTAGTTCATCAGAGCAGAGGTGCTCAATCCTGGAAGACCTCAGGATGCACATTTTGAAGTTAACACACAGTTGAAGTCTTGGAGCCTCTATTCTAAACGAATAGCTCACTCAAAAATGAAATATTCTGTCATACTCCACCTCATGTCGTACCAAATCTATATGACATTCTTTCTTCTGTGGAACACAAAAGAAGATATTTTGAAGAATGTTTTTGTCCATGCAGTGAAAGTCAATGGGATAACACTGGACCCCATTGATTTTGTTTTCAAAATATCTTCATTTGTGGTCTACAGAACAACATTAGGGTGAGTCATGACAGAATTTTCATATTTGGATCCCAATAGCATCCAAAATGCATTTCTGGAGGACCCCAGGACCAGGTTGCATTCAATTATATACAAGAAAAGTTATGTTATGAACTGTTCATCTCACCTGTTTCATGGTGGGGTAGATGGATTTTGTTTGTCTGTTATGGACAACCAGAACAAATGGACCAAACGTTTGTTTCTTATCAGTTACTGAAGGGCACTGATGCAACTTTTTTATTGGTCAGAACGGAAAGCTTGCAATGAGTTTTCGACATTTGTTTTTTCGTTCATACGATCAGCTGAACCCGAAATATGTTTTGCACTAAATATGGATTTAAAGAAGCCAAATCGAACCTGTATTGTGCTGTGAAGGTCTTTTGTTTCATTATATTGTATTCTCATTCTGGTTTTAGCTCGCACATGTGATAGTTTCAGTTTACTCACCGCAACTAGTTAGACCGCAGTTCACATATGTTTATCTGTACTATATGAATCATATCTCTCTTCTGGCTTAGATAGGTTGGCATCTTTAATGATTTGGTTGCCTGTGCTTGCACCACTGACCTTAACGTAAGTTAGCGTTCCGTTATATTTAAGCTGACTTGCAGATCAGTAGCCGGTGAACTGGCCAATGCTGCATAACGCTTAACTGTCTATCTTTTGTATTTATTTATTTATGTATGTATTGGATTTATTTATTTATTTTTGACACCAAAGCGGCCATTGCTTTCATTTGTGGAAAACAGATATATTGCTTTTATGTATTCAAGTGCCATATGTGTACATAGATATATACATATTATAGTATATTGTAATCCTTATCATGAGATATGAATTCCATTAACTCTTTGCGTGGACTGTTTTAAAGGATGTCCGATCCCTTTAATGTGAGATGTTTGGGAATGGAAGAGTGACAAAAAAAAATCATCCATCCATATTTTACATTCATGAAAAGTATGACATTGCATTTACAGTACATATAAAGCACAGTTGATCAGAAATCAGTGAATAAGGGGTTGAGACTCACTTCCCCTGGTGCTTCTATTTCTAAAAAAAAAAATGATGTTAGCAACTATGTGAGATGAAAATAAATGATGGAATTCATGACTAAAAAGCTGTGTGATTTGCATTGCTTCCTTTATGATAGAATTGGAATTTTAGTGTAATGCATCAGCAAAAAAGTGCCATTCTCCTCAGGGATTGAGGTCCATGTCATCTTCCCCATGAATCAACTTCCTGTCAGGTCAGTTAGTTGAAATGCTTGCATGTATTTTTTTCACTGGTTCAGCAGCACAGTGCTTAAATTTGATCCGGGCACCATAATTCTACCTGTCCAGCTTCAGTCATGCTGACGCAATGACAGAGGCTTCCTCTCGGGCCAGTGCCCTGCACACAGCATCGCTCTATTATGCAGAGGTCCAGTCCCTGCAGAAGCTGCGGTGGCCCTTGTGCCAAGGTCACAGAGAAAGTGCTGAACACTGCAGCCGGTGGCCTCTAACTGGGATTTCTCTCTGCTGACAGATAGGGAGAGGCCTGAGACTCACAAAAGTGCCAAGATGACTCTTCAGCAGAGAGGAGGGGGTGGGAAAACTAGGCCCAAGCATCCTGACAGATCAATTTGGAATTTAGCAGGGACCTGATATTCCTCTTTGACACAACACAAACAGTGAAGGTCCAACCTGACAGGACATCAGTGTGTGTGTGTGTGTGTGTGTGTGTGTGTGTGTGTGTGTGTGTGTGTGTGTGCGCGTGTGTGTGTGTGTGTTGTACAATTTCAGACTGTGCTCTCTTACCCTCCCTCTTTCATTAGTTTCTTCTCAAAAAGTCCTAAAAAAGTCCTCCAGAATTTGTTCTCTGATGCATTTAAAGGAAATCAATTCTGCTGTATGGCAGAATTATGGCATAATGAGTTATGAGTATGAGTTACTTAATAACACATTTTTATAAAGGAACCTTAAAAGTATATTAGCACTATTTAACAGCATATTATATTAAGTATATTAAGTCACATTTAAGAATGCATCAGATACCGAAATAATAGAATCCAAATGGAATTTAATATAAAAAAACAGTAAAAATTAACTAAAATGTACTAAAATTTAAATTGTACAAACAAATATTTCACAAAAAATATAAAACTGTTAATATAATATAAATTATTATAATATATCTCTTCTAGGGATATACTATATTATAATACTATTATTTTTAAAATTAACAAAAACATTTTTTTTAATAAATAAATAATAAAAATAAATTTACTTTATCAAACTTTGTGCAAAATGGCAATGTGAAGACCTTTTGTTACTTTGACACCTGTTTACACTCGATCAGAATCATTTTAAAATGCCTAAGAAAAAACAGTTCTGAGAAGAGTTCTGGCATAATTTGTTTGCAGATGCCACTTGGTTTGATATTTTGTATCTAAGGCTAATAAATTCATCCATTTTTCAGTGTGCCTTAAACTATTTATGTGGTTTATGAATTTGATTATTTATTATTTAAACTTTACTCGGTTAGACTACATTTAAATCACGCTCCAAACAAATAAATTAGTAACTTCTTAACCATTCAAATGTGGAACATTTAAGCAATTCAAAGGATCGCATGTTTATTTTTAGCTCTCAGTCAGACTTAGTACTGTGCAATGCTTAGAAAGCATTTTGAATAATTCAGGCTCGATATACTGGCACAAGCTGTAATTCTCTAAAGCAGGTTAGGGAATGCTGATGCTTAGAACACCCCCCAAAGATCCCCTCCACCTACTCATCTATGAAGCTTAATAAAAGATTAAGGCAAAAGAGCACCAATGCAAACCTTGACGGAAGCACAGAAGTGTCCTTGAGCATTAGTAGAGAGATAGAGAGTCTGAGACGTCTGTGACGTGTGCATTCTATCAATTTATGATATACTTAAATAGATTTAAAAAGTAACGCAAAAGTAACATAACACATCACTTTCCATAAACAGTAACTAATAATGTTTAGGGAGTAACACAATATTGAAATGCATTGCTTTTAAAAGTAACTTTCCCTAACAGTGAATAAAAGTTGCACTAAAGAGACATTCGCACCAAGAATGGCATCTGGACAGATACCTATAACGATAAAGATATTTGCGTCCACACAAACATACCATAACATTCTGTTTGTTTTATGCACAAGCTCCAGTTACGTCATTTGCCACTTTAAAGCAACTGTATGTATAGTTTTGTGCATTTTATAGGGATGGGCGTATCGATCCTGAAGTATCGATATGTCAATACTGATGCGAGTATCGAAAGTATCGATACTCAAATAGAAAATATAGAGTGTGTTTTATTTACCAGTGATTTTGTTTATTTAACAACAACAACAACAACAAATAATAATAATGCATGCATTGAATTGGACGAATAACCTATATGTTTGAGAATAATTGTGTAGGATAGAACTATTTTCCTGCTCATCTGAACACAAGCAAATGTTGCAAGACAGAATCAATCAATCACAGAGAGCCTCCACTTACTTCTGACAGTGCATTCAAACAGGGCTGCATTTCCCAAAAGTATCATATTAGGAAAGCATTGATGTTTTTGGGAAGGGCAGCCCAGAACAATGCAAACATATATGTTTGAGTTATTTCACAATAAACCAATTGAAATTGTAGTCTACATAGTTTGTGCAATTAATTACATTTATTTAAATTGAACGTTTAAAGTCCATATTGATCATGTTCTATTCTGTAATGTTAATGTAATTCATAAATACACTGTTTGTCAGAATATTAAGGTTGCATTGTATGCGTGCAACAGCCTGTCACTGGCAGTCCCTAATGAAAATTAACCATATGGTTTTACTAAAGTGACCGTAGTTCAGCTCTAGTATTTGCAGATCGTAAACATATTTTAACCATGTGTAAACAAAAATATAACCTAATAAGTTGCAATTAAGGCATATTGAATGTTAAAATGCATTTCAAATATAAGGTTAAGTGGGTATCATAAATTTCATAATTTAAAAGTTCAGTTTAGAAGTATCGTATCGGTATCGGTATCGATATCGATGTCGACGATACTGTCCATTAAAAGTATCTGTATCGAAAACATAATAAGTGGTATCACCCTTCCCTAGCATTTTTGCGACTTTGGAGCCTATTGTCTTACTAGAAGTGTACCCTTCAGAATGTTTTTGAAACTCATATTTCAAGGTAAAACACTTATATACAGTTGTTTTAAATGCTCTAAATTCAAGAGGATTCTGACTGACTGTCCATGTTTTGATTGTTTATCAGCTGGGAAAAAAAAATTTAAAAATCTGAAAGTGATTCCAATAATGTCATTCCTCTGTGTCAGTTGTCGTGTTGATTTCCCGATCCTTGTAAAATTAGAATGATTTTGAAAACTTTATTGTGTTATTTATTGTCCTTGGAGTGAACGGACCTAAAGTCGGGCAAAGTGCCCTGTAATTGTTCAAACTCATAGTCATCTGGGTATAAGGTCATTTGCACTGGGCCTCTCATGCACCCATTGGCAACCAACCCATCAGATGTCCGCTTATGATGTAGGCACCGTGCCTGGCCATCAGGGTCTCATTAGACTGCCAGACATGAGCCCATGTAAATATACTGGCATAATAACCAAAACAATTCACAGCATCTGCGATAGAGTTCAAACATGTCAAACCATTGGTGTAGACTGAGGCATCCAAAAGCCTGTCTGATCTGAGATGCTGTCATCAGCCGTCAGTCAGGGATTTCCGGCAAAGTCATCAGAATCACAAAGTCACAGTCAGCAAGAACAGCTGCCGAAACACAACAGCAAAAACAACACAGGCACTTTTGTTCATCCAAGACATGCATGAAATTCCCACAATAAACAACATGCTAAAAAAACTACACTGTGACACATGTGATACTAGACACAGAGAAAAA